CTGTTTGCAGGTTTAATACCCAGACAATTTGGGATTATGCTGAACGACAAGCTGAAGTCTTTAAACCTCCAGCTGGAGACAGACACACATGCAGATGAAGGCGCCTCGTTCACAAACCAGTGTTGGCGCTGTTTGTGTGTCCGCGCCGTGTTATCTGCCTCCGCTGCTGATGTTTTTCTGTTTGTAGTCGACCCCGGCCGTGTTGTGTTCGGGTTCCTCGGCCTCATACATTTTACAACAGAAACAGGGATTTGAAATGCACATAATTCCCTCCTTTGGATCGGAGCAGAACTAAAGAAGCTGACGGAGCGTGGCAGCAGCCGCCGCCTGGAGACACATCCACCTCCCAAATCCCTCGAGCCCGGCCCGGTCGTCATGGCCACCCCGCCTCTCCTCCGGCTCGTTATCTAACCCCCCTACCCCCCCTCCCCTGCAGCCCTGACTCCAGGAGATGGACGTCAATACTTCATCTTCTGTCTGCTGCTCCGAGTCCTTCGACATCCTTTTAACCCTTTCCCTGCAGAGACACAGATATGTGACTCCAACACACCGGAGCAGACACAGCCCGTCTGAAAGGTGGTTAGAACTGCTTTTCTCTGGATTTACAGGCAAATCTGGGAAAGACTACTTTTTTTTTCTCCTATTAAACCCTCTACAGGACCCAGATGAGCTACCTCAGCCCTAAATGTTACCATCATGTTCTTCTTTCACCTTTACTTCATTTAAGATGAGACCTAGGCTGTATGAAGACTGACCTACCTGCAGTTTATTCCACATCTGGACTGCATTTCTTCACGTTATCTTTTTGGCCACAATGATGTTGCTTTTAACACTTTTACCAGCTCAAACATGGCCATGAGACCCAGTTCAGGGACGTCACGCCTTGAATTCCTCCACCCAGTTTCACGAGTCAGATCTATAATAAAATATTCCTGCTACAGCTGTTATGCTGGAATCAGATATCGTGGCTGTAAACATGTGACTCTGTGGGGACAGACTCCGTCTTTAAGCCAGCCTCGAGTGGACATTAGAGGAACTGCAGACTCTGGCTCTGTAGTGTTGGTTTAAGCTTTGTAGCTCTGGAGTTCAGCAGGTCCCGGGCTTCATGGAGGGATGTTTGTTTGGTTTTGGAGGTCAGCGCTGACCCTGGGATGTCTTTCCTTTAGCTAATGCTAATGAATGCTAGCCTGCCTGCTGAGGTCAGCGACGTCCGGACCTTTGAAAGTTTACTTTGTCTAAAAAACAAGAGTAAAAACTGGCACAAATGTGTGACGCTCTGCAGGCAGCCTACGAAGGAGCGGCCTGCCCTACGGTGCCTCGGACTGGGTTGTGTTCAGTTTATTGATGATCTCATGAGGAAAGATGATTGACTGGTTTATTCATGAGGAGTGACTCAGAGACCCAGCAGGGCCAGAGCCGCTGAATGAGTAATTTTTTTTCTTTGTGCTGTTTTCGTTTTAACTGAAACAATATTTCTGTTTTTGTTGTTTTAGTTGTGGTTTTATAAACACAGCAATCATTGTAGATATTTACACACACAGTGGAGAAATCCTTCAGTGTTCAGCCTTGATTGCAGTGCAGCTCTAGGACTCTTCAGAGGTGCAGCCTTTTCTGCTGGTCACTGGAGCACAGCTGCTCCACCTTAAATAAATAAATATCGGACTCATTTCTAAACACGGTTACATCCCTGCTGCTCACAGACAAAACTGCATCAGATCAGATTACTCATCGAAAC